AAAAAGCATGAATGAGTGGTAGTCAAGGTATAAATTTCAATTTTTTTGATTTTTTTTTTTAATTTTCAATTTTTTTGATTTTGGCACTTCTAATGCCTGTTAATTGTCAAAAGAAAATTCGAAATTAGACTCCTTGTTCGTAGAATTTTGATTGTCTTGTTGCTACTAAATCTGTTAAACTTCTAATCTCAAAGGACGAGTAAGAGTGATAGGAAAGGAAACATTCTGGAATTAAGAATAAGAATGATTCCATTTTTTGCCACAGCTAAAAGCTATATAAAACCAAAACATCGTAAAAAATCTTACCGTCAGTGTACCGTCAACATTTCGCTGGGTGATTTCTATCAAATCATTCATTTCGAACGACAGGAACAGTGGATCGTTCGAACGAAATGACTGTACTGCGCGAACACATTCATGGGGCTGCACTAAACATTTGACATGGTAATTCATTCCAAATCAGTAAATACATTTATTGAACAGCAGAAATGAACAAACAAAATGATAGAAAGTGAGATTTCTTACAGTTATTCTGAATTCAGTAATAAATTTTCAATTTCGAAAAGCAAATGCTAACAGGAAGCAGTATGTTTCGGCCTATTTGGAGTCTGATTTCGTGTTAGTATAAAACCAACTCCTGGACATTTACTCATCGATAAGCACGCACGATGCAAATTTCGCTTACAATCTGCAGTAATGGTAAAATGGTTCAGTTAGCAATAATGTCAATACTGAAAATCCGAAATTACTGAATACGAACAAAATTTATTAAACTAAATGTCATCCCAATGATTAGCTTATTTACTAACTGGAGCAATGGTATCCTTGATAGAAGAGACCAGCAAGAAGCTTTTCACAATGGAAACAGATGGTAGCTTTATCGTAGCTATGATATTGCAAACAGTGGCCTGATGCTTCCGAATCTTTAGGCCGTACATTGCTCCTATAAACAATCAGACTTAGGATAATTCTTAATAAACAATCACAGATAATTCTTAATCATTGCAATTTCAAATTTTAGGCTTATAATTTAAGACTTGATTGATTACAAACAAGTACGCTTACTGTGCTGCTATGATGTTTTGCACCCAACTGTCTCGTTGAAGCATCGTCTTGCAGCAAATATTGAGGACGTTAGTAACATTATCATCTAATTCTTGCACTAAAGAGAAATAATAACCACCATTGGCTGTCAGCTTCCGAGTTATTGTACCAATTTTATTATTATTGTCTGCATCGACACCAATACGATAATCATTTAATATGTGCGCACTTCGATATGAGTACTGATTTCCCTGAAACCATTTGTGGGATGAAAATAACGAATTACCTGTAACCTACAGCGAATTACCCATTTGCTTTTTATTTCACAATGTCTACAGCGAGTATTGTGAATTTCACTTCGCTTGACATAGCAATTATGTGATCTGCTTCTTCTATACTGTGTTCTAATATCTATCTACAGTTTAAACTACTTTCCAATATCTATTCACTATTCAAACATAGAACCTAATTTAAAATCGGGAAAACTTACTCTTAGACTTTTACAAATAATCATCACTTTATCGAAAACAAATACGTAGCGTGTTTTTAGTCGATTGCCATCCTTACTCTGATCGGCAATCTTGATCTCACCGTCTTTAACTAATCGACCATAGTTAATTAAATGCATACCTGAGGGCTGAAATTAGTTGAAACCATATAAGATAATGCCCAACTGCTTTTTCCAACTGTCTTATGTCAGAAGAAATTATGCTGTTTTATCTTTTGTCTTTTGTCGTTTATGCAATTCAACAAGATCCAGCGCAAGGAAAATCAAATTATTAGCCAAAATTACCAGCTCCAAATCAGTTATACTGGTTTCAATATCCATAACCAGTTGTTGCATCTCATAATCACGTTTCATTTCATTGACATACGAATTGATATCCTGCATCGCCTCTTTGGCTTCTTCCAAAGGTAGGCGATCTGGTGAGTCCACTGAGGTAAGTTTTATCATTTCCTACAATAAATTAGGAATATTTGCATGTTATACAGCTATGACTATTCAACTTCGTAGTTATCTGTTAACTTTTTAAATATTTCAAATTAAATGAAAAAAAAATACCGATAACAAAACATGGTATTTTAAAACCCTCTGCATGGGGATACTCAGAAGATCCTGCAAATGGAACTGATTACGATTAGCAGCTACACCACAATCCTGAAATGAAGGGAAATAAACTTTTACTACAACTAACAAAGACAAACATGAAATTCTCAAGAAGGCTGGTGTGATCACCATTAACAACATGAGAGGATTTAAGCTTAAAAAAAAAGAAACAAGAACAAAGAAATACATACAACAATCTTCTGTCGTACGACCGGATCTGTCTTTTCCAAGTAACAAACACGTGAACGTGAATTTGGTAATTTGGAACAATATTCTCCATAAGCCACAAATTTCTCTTTCCATCTGAAGCTCCATCTCACAGTTTTGAAAGGTATTTAGAAGTATTTCCAGAAAATACAATTTATGCAAAAAAAAGTTAAGTATTAATTACGTAATGAAGACATCTCCAATTGTCACCGGCTTTTCGTCATTCGTCGGTTCTTCCAAACCAACCGTATAGAAGACAGCTTGCCGCAAATGATCACGAAATGAGCGATGAATACATGCTAATTCCTGTAAAAATCATCCAGAAATTCTGGAAAGAAGAAAAACAAGCTCTGACTTTGATACTAATACTATTCAGTATAGAATGAAGCATACAATAGAAATGAACAAATAACAAACCAAAATATTCATAAAGATCATTTTATGATCATCCTTTGATAGCACCTCCTCCAGTGGTGTGTAAAAATTATTTATGATCATATCCAGTGCTTTCTCAACATAGTTTGATTCGGTATCGTATAATTCCTTGATACAATGTTCACGACGAGAATCCGGTTTGAAATTTATCCACTTCTAAAAAAATGATTCCGTCAATAGCGTCTACTATTGCCTAGTCAAGATTGCTGCAGGTTACTAAATGCTATGCGAGGTCCTATTTCAAATTCTGAAGCAACGTTGCAGAACATCATACTACATCTACATAAATAGAACGGTAAAAAACTAAAACAAATTGAAACCAACACAAAAAAAAAAACTAAAACACAAAAAAAACTGTTATTAAAACAAATTGACCTTAAACAATTAAGTCTACATGAGAAGCATATGGCTACTAGTTAATTGAAATCTACTTTCTTAAAGCATTTCATGTCTTTTTTCATATTACCCACGTTTTCGTTAATATAACTCATTAAACTACAAATAATCCAAATAAACTGCACCACTTCTTTTTAATAATTAAACGAATCGTTTGGAAACGACTAAAATCATATATATTTGTATTATATCTGACAGAATGAAGTAAACAGAAATTTCGAGATCATTGGAAGACTCAGTCTGCGACAAGACCACATTTTCAATCACTGAAGACACCTGATATCGTTAAGGCAGCAAGACTTCTTAATGAAGAGTTATACACGTACTATTAACAGAAACTAACATCATATTCGATAGCTTTCAATTCTCGTTGACTGTTAGATCGCTGACAGACAATAGAATCGTAGATTCGGCCACTGGTCTTCTCCTCCTCCGCGATACCCACATCATAAGCGTTTTCGAGCACAGGCTCATTTACTTCTGCTTCTTGGCGGAGATTTTTGTAAATAACTTTGTCGTTATAATATTCCACGGAATTTAGTGAGGATATACGCGATGGGAATCCTCTGAAATGCATGTAATGTACGTTGTCAAATGTGACGTCGGACAGCAAAAGGTCTGCATTCAATCGAGTGTGCTATATCTTCTAGCTTTGTTTTCTGTTTTTTTATTTACCTTTGAATTTATATTGAGAAAACGTCTGGTGCTTCAAACAAATGCAATTATTTTATGGCACAAATCATGGGCTGCGAATTTGAAATCAGAGATACGTAGAAAAACTATGAATTTTTGACTTCATCCAAAAAAAAAGCATAAACAAAACATTATCAAAGTATGCACTGCACGGAAAATTTTGCTCATCTTCCGTAATTATGAGAAACCGAAAAATGGACCTGGTACCGCTAAGTTTCGCTACAGGAGACATAGATAGCTTGGAAAGTGTCCTGAGCACTTTGCCAAAATCATCAAGGCGATAAAGATCCCATGGATCGAATAAATCTTCTGGCTTCATTTCAAATGTATTTTTACATGCTTTCAGAAATTCGCATATATTTTTACAGCAAAGAAACTGAAATAACATACTTGTGAAGTTTAAAAATATGTAAAAATAAAACTCATTTCATAGCACTAGTGGTACTCCAAAAACTGTCAAAATCGATTTTGCTATCTAGCTTATTCCTGCTGCCAAAATTTTGCGAATAAAAGTTGCACGGAGATAGACCCGAAAATCCTCGGATATATAAACTAGAATTAACTAAATTCCTGATAAAGAGAACAAAGTGATTACAATGGTGCAATGCTATCGTAATATTTCTGAATATTTAAGGCATATACCTGAGCCATTTGTGGCCGTTGTTGCAAGTCCTTGACGTCAATACAATTTTCACAGAGTCGATTACAAAGTAAACAAAGCAATACACCATCTCGTAGGATGGTTGCGAATTCACCGATTTCAGCATCTGCTTCCGTTACCCGATGTTTGGCATCCAGAATTCCGCATTCATTCATCCACCGTACACATTCTCGCCATAATTCTGTCATTTCTGCCATTCTCTGTTAAAACACTAATTAATCGAAATTTTATTTGAATTTATTTCTCCTTCTTTTTCTAGAATGTTCTCGACAGCAAACATTATAGATCATATACTTATCATTTACAGCCTATTAACTGAGGATGAATGGAACACACTATACTATGGCTGTGATAATATACAACATAGATTTGATTGACCAACAACAAATGATAAACATCATTTATCAAAATGAGAGTTAATCGAAGACAAATGTCCAGTGAAATAATAATATGGAGAAAATAACAAAATTTTAAGAAGGGAAATCAAGCGAACAAGAAACTAATAAACAACCTCTCCCCCGCAATATACTAACTGATAATCACATCACATAAACAATATACTAACTGATAATCACATCACATAAACAATATATGCCTCAATTTAAAGCAATGACTCAACAGCCAAATACCTCATATAACTCTTGTTCAAATTCGATAAATACACATTGAGCAGATGTTTACAAGATCTTGACTTTCCTTAACGTTCTACTTAAAAAAATGAATAATAATATCCAATCAGTGACAACATATCAGTAATAAACTATCTTAATTTTTTGCAATATCTATATAGGATTTTTTCTAATTTTTTGGGTAACTATTTTTTAAATATTTTTGATATATATATATATATATATATATATATACATATATA